CTTACCAAACCACCAGTGTTTCAACACCGGATAATAAACCACCTCTAACCATTACATCACCTGGAGACAAGTCAGTACACATGACTTTCATCCATACTCTTACAAATTACATTGTAAAACAATTCTGGTTACAGGGACAAAGCAAATGCTGCCACAACAGGCATGCATTACAAAACAATGCAAATACACCATTTGCAATAAATTACCCACACTCAAATTACACAGCAATCCTGATAAAATATAACACAGATTCTCACATAATTCACAATCAACAAAGGACCGCTATCACCCGAAAAGGTCACAAACACCCAGGTGTTCACTGTTTTGTTTACAATGAATGGCATGTTTCAAATCCCAGTGGACAGAAAGTGTTATGCTGCCACAAAACAACAAACAGTCAGTATATGATATTCTATGACACCACATTTGTAATCAACACCATATACCAATGCATCACAAAGTGCATAAGGGTATACGTGCGATGTACAGTTGCTCATGTGACCATATACACACAACCGAACAACCACCAGATGACTTGCAGTCAGCTGCATGTCCACTTTGAGACATCGCAAACAAACCACAGAATCTACTGCCACTGTTGTGTGGTTTTACTAAGCCAATTTACATTCAGTAGTCTGCCATTGCTTTCTCAATAATAAAATGCTCACACTGTTGTCAAAATCAATGCAAAGCAGTCTGCCGCCAAAATGCCTACAGCTAAATCAAACCCTGGTATTCTGGTTTACAAATCTGCATTCATAACCACTATACCACAGACACCAACTGCGAACCACAAGACTAAACACAATATGAACAGAAAAGAGGGAGTTGTGAAGTAAAAAAAATGGTGACCACATGTTTTTTTTTTTTTTTTAAATAAAAGACTAACTTTAGACATTCAGGAAACAGAGGAGCGGTCAAGAAATCAATAATGAAAGAATATCCCACCTCAATACTCAGTTTTAGAGATAACTTAGACAGGACAATGAGAAAGACAGAAGGATGAGAACACCACCAGTTGGTAATCATACCAGTGTTTCAATGAAACAATTTTCATATATTTATATATATATAAATATATTTTATACACACAGAAAACAATCAACTTAAACAAGCAGAATGTAGAATCACTTTGCCCATCGTCCACCCGTGTCTTGTGGAAGCAATTAATTTCACAGGCACACTGGTTTTAAAGCAGTTAAACAAAGTATCAGGGCCAAGTTTTAACTTATAAATCATGTAAAAGTATAAAGTAAAGATCCCTTTCCACGCCTTTAGGCGTATCGGGCACATGGGAAGAGCGCCCATATTTTTACAGACCATCAGCACTCTGTGGGTAATGTGGTCAGCATTATGCCGATAAATCATGTAGTAGTGGGGAAAATGTGGAATGATAAGTTTTGTATTAATGGGGCAAACTTTTGGCTTACAAATCAAGTTGTAATAATACGGCAAAATTGGGAAATATAAATTGTGTATTATTGGGGAAATTTTTTGACTAATAAATTATGTGGCATTATGGTAAATTTTCTCACCAATTATAGATTTGTGGGAATCAGTTCACTTACAAATCAGCTAGCATTACTGCAAACCTCACAGGTGAAAAAAAACTTTTCACTTTCAAATTAAGTAGTATTAGGACACATTTAAATTTTCAAATCATGCAGTATTATGGGTGACTTTTCATTTATAAATCATGTAGTATTAGTACAAACTACTGTTAACTTACAAATTATGTAGTAATAGGGCAGACTTTTCATTTGGAAGTCACATAGTATTAGTACAAACTGTTAACTTACAAATTATGTAGTAGCAGGGCAGACTTTTCATTTAGAAATCATGTAGTATTAGGACAAACTGTTAACTTACAAATTATGTAGTAGTAGGGCGAACTTTTTATTTAGAAATCATGAAGTATTAGGACAAACTGTTAACTTACAAATTATGTAGTAGTGGGGCAGACTTTTTATTTAGATATCATGAAGTATTAGGACAAACTGTTAACTTATAAATCATGTAGTATTTGGACAAACTGTTAACTTATAAATCATGTAGTATTTGGACAAACTGTTAACTTACAAATTATGTAGTAATAGGGCAGACTTTTTATTTAGATATCATGAAGTATTAGGACAAACTGTTAACTTATAAATCATGTAGTATTAGGACAAACTGTTAACTTACAAATTATGTAGTAATAGGGCAGAATTTTCATTTAGAAATCATGTAGTATTAGGACAAGCTTATCCCTTTCAACTTTATATTTCTCATTATACACATATCTCCTCTTCTTCTTCATCTTCCATCATTTTCTTCTTTCTCATTCTCTTCCTCCATTTAATTCTTATGAAATTAAGTATGGATTTTTGTTTTGTTTTGTTTTTAAAAAATAACTGAAGAGTGCAGTCCCATACAATGATCCTGTTAAAGACAATCTAAAATGGAACCAAGTGTGTGTGTGTGTGTGTGCATACGCTCATGCGTGTGCATGCATGTGTGTGTGTATGCACACACATGTACGTGTATGTGTGTGTGTATATATGTATGTATGTATGTATGTATGTATGTATGTATGTGTATATACATATATATATATAATGCAACTGTAGACTTAATAGTCTCTGAACTCATATACAAGCACCATGAGAGGTATTCTTCTCTCATGTATACATTAGGACAATTGTTAGCTCCTGCAGTAAAACATCTGATAAAGATTTTTAAAATAGCCAACAGGGTAAAATGACATCCTTACCTGATTCACCTGATGAACAGTATCATGCAAACACATTTTAAACAAAGGTAAATGAAGAAGACAACATACATAAGTTAAATATCTCTCAAACACAGCTCAGCCCTGTATTAACATGAACTATTCCAATGTGAATGCAGCTCACACCAGAGACAGTCACTAGGTGTGAAGTATAAAGCCTGCATCTACACAAAAACTGTGCTGTCCGGATAATGGAGCTGGGCTGCAAATTATCCACCGCTAACTATGGGAGGTTATGATAATTTCCAGTGTGACTACCGCACCATTAACTGTAGGGATATTATGTGGGGAGGCTGCGATCATTTCCAGTGTGACTCCCACACCATTAACTGTGGGGATATTATTTGGGGAGGCTCTGATCATTTCCAGTGTGACTCCCACACCATTAACTGGGGGAATATTATGTGGGGAGGCTGCGATCATTTCCAGTGTGACTCCCACACCATTAACTGTAGGGATATTATTTGGGGAGGCTCCAATCATTTCCAGTGTGACTCCCGCACCACTAACTATGGGAATATTTTGTGAGGAGGCTCTAATCCTTTCCAGTGTGACTCCCGTATCACTGACTTAAAGCCACAAGAACAGTAATTTTCTAAACAATCCAGGGTGGGAATCGAACCCTGGTTAACAACGAGTACTGCATAGTGAAATTATTTCCCTAACCCCGAGGCCACAAAAGGCTGCATGTATTCTAAGCCATAATATACAAGGTCAGGTGGCTATTTTACATCCTCTTTGCTTTATCTTTCAACAACAAATATTTTTAATTGTCTAGCACCTCGTAACAGTTATGCTGTAACCTACCATGCATGTCATATGAAGCTACTAATTATACAGTTGGCATGAGATTGGCTATCTCGGCGTGCAGAAAACTAGCTACCAAATTCAACAATCATGAACGAGTCTACAAAGGTTTTAGTGTGACTTCACTACAGCCCTATGCTGCACTGGAGGATAAAAGGCAGATGACAGGAAGGAAAAAAGATATCAGATTAGACAAATGCAGGCTTCAATTTTCTAATGCAGTGTGTTGTACCACTGGTGTGCTGGGAAATGAGCAGGCAGATAGACTGGCCAGTTCTGCACCACCTGGTGGTGAATTTATTTTGACAAGCTAGACGTTGTGAGGGCCCTTTGGAAGCGAGTAAACAGTGCAGAAGAAGAAAAACACATAATTATGGTAGAGGAGAATGGAGCTGCAAGGAGTTGGATCTGACCAACGCTCAACGCTCAAGAAAAAGGAGAGATGGATACACCAACGCTTAACACTCAAGGGAAAGGAGAGATGGATACACCAACGCTTAACACTCAAGGGAAAGGAGAGATGGATACACCAACGCTTAACACTCAAGGGAAAGGAGAGATGGATATACAATCGGACAGTTACTGGTGCAAGGAGTTACCAGGAGATCTGGCCAATGCTCAACACTCAAGGGAAAGGAGAGATGGATACACCAACGCTTAACACTCAAGGGAAAGGAGAGATGGATATACACTCGGACAGTTACTGGTGCAAGGAGTTACTAGGGGATCTGGCCAACGCTCAACACTCAAGGGAAAGGAGAGATGGATATACAATCGGACAGTTACTGGTGCAAGGAGTTACCAGGGGATCTGGCCAACGCTCAACACTCAACGGAAAGGAGAGATGGATATACAATCGTGCAGTTACTGGTGCAAGGAGTTACCAGGAGATCTGGCCAATGCTCAACACTCAAGGGAAAGGAGAGATGGATATACAATCGGACAGTTACTGGTGCAAGGAGTTACCAGGGGATCTGGCCAACACTCAACGGAAAGGAGAGATGGATATACAATCGGGCAGTTACTGGTGCCATTGGAATTTAAAGTTTTTTCTTGCAGCTGTTGATGAAGAAAGAGCATTTATGAGAGTGTTCTGAGTACTGAGATTCTTAATTCAACATTCAACGCAGTGTGCTCTGAGGTTACATGGATGGGAATATATGGAGGTTGTGGTCTTATGAAAGGACTATGGCCCATGGGGTGTTGCAGAAGAGGCCTGTGCTGGAGGGATTGGTGAGTTTCGGAAGTAAGTCTGAGGGGCTAGTGTGGGAATGTTGGGGTTATCTTTGAGGTTCAGACCTAGATCACCATGGTATGACAGGGCTGAGCTGTACATTTTCTTTCCTGAGATATAATGATAGAAACAAAGAAAACTAAAATGTCAAGGAACAGAATAAGTAAAATTAGATAGTGAATGACCAACCTGAAGCATGTAAGGCACCATCTGTGGTCTGTTCTCAGGAGGCACTGGCACAAATGGGTGGCATCCCCTATAGATGAGGGATTCATCAGCTGATGATGGTGGTGGCATGTTAACACTGATTTCCCCAGCTGGCAGTGGAAGAGGTGAGGCTTGTAGCCCTGTGTTTCCACTGGCTAATGACCCATTCTGGTGGCTTGGCGGTCTGGTCAAGGATCTGGGGGGAAATGGAGGTTGCAGCATCGGATGCATTCCTTGGGTGGGAATATATGGAGGCTGTGGTCTAATGAGAGGATTATGGGCCATAGGGTATTGCAGAAGAGGGTTATGCTGGTAAGTGTTTGGTGCGTCTGGGTGAAAGTAAATCTGGGAGCCTAATGAAGGAATGCTGGGGTTGTCTGAGCCTGAAAATATAAAACATTTTTAAAATGAGATGCTTGTGAAATATTTCTAAACTGCACTATGGCCCTTCCCAATTAATCAATAAATGTATCTATATTGACTTAGATCTCTTATGTAGGCTCAGGAGAATGAAGATTATTTATTTAACTTGTGATGCATGTTTTAATGATCTCTGAGACATTCACTGAGGCTGAGTTTCTCAGTTATTATATTCAGGAAGATCACAATGGGTAGAAGCCACCACTGACAGTGGCTTCAATCTCTGCTGAGGTTACAGCTGACAAAAACCAGTGTTAATTTTTGTGCCGGGATATGATGTTGTCAGGGAAAACCAACAACAAGCAGATGGGTTTCCTGACATAGGTTACCACTGAAAGCGGGTGTAAAATAGGCATAAGTGATACAACGAATGCCCTCAGGAAGGCAGGATGGTGAAAAATGAACCTAGACCACGACTAAAAGCCTGACGAATGAATGCTTAAAGAAGTTTCCTCTTTTTCCTCTTAGTGCTCACCCGCTGTAAACTCTGGCGGAAAGTTCTGGTTGGTCATCCACTTCTGATCTCTGGTTCTGAACTTTGGTCTTGTTCCACAACCTGCTTTTGCATGCAAATCAGTTTTACAGATCTGGGTTATTTGTATACTGACTATCGGTTCCTCGCGTCTTAGGCAAATAAATTCAGACTTAGAAGGAAACACCCCTAATTAGTTGACTTAAGTAACATGTTTGTGAAAAGGGGGGAGGGGGCCCTACTCCTCTTTCACTAAAATAGAGCCCAAGAACTCACAGGGGCATACAAGAAATTGATTTGTTGGATTCAATCTCTGCTGTAACCAGATGCAATGTAAATATATTTAAAATCATACAAATAAAAAAATTAAAAAATCAGCAACCTTGTCAAGATTGTAAGAACAGCAGCACATCAGGGAAGAAACCAAACAAAAAAGCTATTCAGTAGGCAAATGAAAAATGGTTTGTCAAAACAGAAATAGTGTCATCAGCCACACACTCAGTTTTGGATGCAGCAGGCTGGCCATGCACAGTGATGGCCGGATCTCAAGCAGGGAGGAGGGGACCTAAGCACTTACCAACTGACTAACATGGTTCAATGTGCTGGAACAATGGTCTTTTGGATTAACTAAACTGCCATATCTCGTCTTTCTTCTTCTTCATTCATCCAAAGATAATAGCATTGTGCTCTTTTACAGCAAGGCAGTGATATTTGCTCTTTTTGGCAGACACATCTGACTTCTGCAGCTATTTGTTGACTGGGTTAGCCAACACACCAGATTTCAGCAAATCGTTAGTGGCCTTTTACTACATGCACGTTAAAGGGAAGTTGGGGCCCCTGAGCCAACACTAAAAACTTGAAAAACAAAGCTGAAACATTCTTGATAAAGACAATTCAGTGTGGCTTACCATCAACACCGGGACAACTGAAAGTCAAGTGTGTCTCTGGGGTCAACTGGGGAGCTGGAGACATGAACTGCACTTTCTCCTGCTCCGACTGCATCATGTCACAAGCTCCTGCAGGAGGCGGCCGTTTTGGATGCAGCAAACCAGTAATATGTGGTGGTGGCTGGCTGATGGGCAGTGAGCCGAACATTGGTGGAAATACTCTTGAAGAACTGTAGTGCAGAAAAATCATACATACAGATAAATGTATATATATGTACACACATAAGGCCTGTTTAAAAAGTGTGGTGCTTTATTAATATCCTACGCCAGACAGGGGAAATCTACAGGTCACAGGACAGTCTAATATTTCAAGTAGTAAATAGGCTGCATGCAGTCGTGGGACCTAGGCTGCATGCAGTCATGTGACCTAGGCTGCACTCTCTCATGGGATGTAGATGGGTTGGGGTTAGGGCCAGTTCTTGATGTTTTGGGGTCATTAAAAGCATCAGAAAGCAAGGAAACCCAGCTTACCATCCTATAAAATGTTGGACTGTCCGGTGACGACATCTGAGGTAGGACCAAGAACAAAAAGTGTCACATGTGTTAGCTGTGTTTTCTTCACACGATGATAAAGAACCAACCCTAGCATTTTGTGGGGTTTTAGTGAATTAACTAGGCAATTCTACATTCATCAGTTTGCCCACTGCTTTAAAAAAACAGGCCGTCATTCGCACTAAACAAGAAAACTTCCTACAAGAAATTTTATATTCTTGCCGGGCTCAAATTTTTTTAGTGTTAGTCGAGTGCTCTTAAGCGAGTTAATGATAAGGGCTTACTGCAGTTGCAAAACATCATAAAACATTAATCCAGGCATAATCAAGCACAGCACAAGAATTTCTTTGTCAAGAATTTTTTTGTGCAAACAACCTTTCACAACAGTCTTCTTAACACTCACCGACTGTAAATTTCCAGCGGAAAATCCTGTTTGTTCGTCCACATCCAGACTTTGGTCTCATTCCAGAACTTGGGTTCTGCGTGCACATTCATTTTACAGATCTCGCTTAGCTGTATGCAGACTATTGGTTCTTCGCCTCTCTGGCAGAGGCACTCAGACTTTGAAGAAAACCCCCCCTAACTGGTCACTTTTACAACATACATGCTGGAGAGAGGCACTGGGCTGTTCTTGTTCACTTTCAAATGAGGCCCTAAAAGCCACACAGGGCCCATGACAATCAATAAAGCTGAACTCACCTGGCAGCATGTTGGTGGTCTAACTGCTCTATACATGGCTGTGTATTTCCAGCAGTTTGTCCATTTCTAGCAAGAGCTTCTGTTTTCTGTTTGGTGATGAGCTGCACCTGGCGAAGCTGATCACATTCCGATGGGGTTAGGGGTGAAGAATCCTTTTCTAGAGCTCCTAGTGTTCCTTTACTGCCACTTCTTCGTGATCTTGAACGGTATCTAGAAATAAAAACATTTCTTGCTGAATGCCAAATAAAATCATTAGCAGTGCTATTCAATGGGTGGCCTGCGGGCCAGATTTGCCCCGCAGAGACCTAGCAAGTGGCTCGCAGATCATGACCAGTTGCACTGTATTGATAATCTGTCTATGCTGAGGCTTGAGCCTCTGACCCGCGGAGACCTAGCAAGTGGCTCACAGATCATGACCAGTTGTACTGTATTAATAATATCTCTATGCTGAGGCTTGAGCCTCTGACCCGCGGAGACCTAGCAATTGGCTCGCAGATCATGACCAGTTGTACTGGATTAATAATCTGTCTATGCTGGGGCTTGAGCCTCTGACCCGCGGAGACCTAGCAAGTGGCTCGCAGATCATGACCAGTTGTACTGTATTAATAATATCTCTATGCTGGGGCTTGAGCCTCTGACCCGTGGAGACCCAGCAATTGGCTCGCAGATCATGACCAGTTGTACTGTATTGATAATCTGTCTATGCTGGGGCTTGAGCCTCTGACCTGCAGTGATCCACATTTTCAAAATGTTGGCTCCTGAGTAAACTTAGTTGAACAGCTCTGCTCTAGAGCCACTCCAAAAACAAACAAACTGTTGATTAGTGTCTGTTTACCATTTTCCTGTTTGGGTGGAAAGGGGAGGGATTGGGGAGGGGGGGGGGGGTCTTGGAGCCTGAAGATTTAGGACCGCATAGCCAGTGCAGTCACCATGAACTGTGCAGGTAACTCACCCACATAAGGACTCATGTACAGAACTATACTCATCTACATAAGGACTCCAGTACATAGCTATACTTATTTACACAAAACATGTATATAATTACACTTATTTGCATAGCCTCATACAGAAATACTCTTATTTACATCTCTTCTTCTTCATTTTCCCCGGCTGTAAATTCCAGCGGAAAGTTCTGATTGTTCGTCCACTTCTAGACTCCAGTCCTGTTCCACAAACTGAGCGCTGCGTGCACATACCTTTCACAGGTTTGACTGATTTGCTCCCAATTAGTCGACTCTACGACATACTTTTGGGCAGGTAGTAGGTCTTTCTTGTTTTCCCCACAACGGGTCCCGGGTACCCACACGGGGAACTAATTTACATAAGAAATGATATACAAACCTTTCTAGTTCATCCTGAGAATGAGCAAAAGTGCAGGTGTTGCCTCTCGGACAGGTACCTCTAGCTGTGAAGTCGCGACACAACGATGTCTTATATCGTGTGTTCTGCACTGGTGTGGTCTCCAGTCGTGACCTGTGATCAGGGTTGGATAAGAATTCCACGAAAGCTGACATGACCGTGTTCAAGGACCTCATTATGGCCTCCAGATTCTCCCATGACGGTGCGGGACAATCTGAAGAATCAAAAAAATTGTTAAATTGTTTGAAATCTAGGTCTTAGTCGAGATTTAAACTTCACTGCAAATGGGTTTCCCCACACTTGCTCTGTTCCTGTGCCAGTGAAAATCAAACGAAATGTGCCGCACTGTTCCATTTGAAATACTGGGGAACAGTCCCGGCACAATCCAGAAATATGTGCACCCAGTAAATGCATAAGGCAGTTGCTAGAGGGTCACGATAAGCTGGCTACACGCATGTAAAATTATTATCAGGAATTTCACCAGCCCACACGTAAACCGGCTACCGGCCATACTGAATACCATGACTCAACTGCTGTTCAAATGAAAGGCATTCCAAATACAAGGCTCACAGTGCTCACCAAGCGCTTAATTCAGTAGCTTAGGCAGCCAAACCATAGACTTCCATCCATATGTGGAAACTGCATTAGCAGCAAAAGCACTGTCAGAAGCACACAAAAACGCTGAAGAAGAAGAAACAGTGTAGACATGTAATAAGATCTAATCTTGCCCTTTTTATCTCTCCTACTGCTTATGCAGTAAAGTGTCGCATGGAGATGTCATATGTAGGTTCCTGTCTTCTGCTAATTGCGTAGCTTGTGTTAACGTCATATAGCATTGCTATAGACTCCTGCTTGGTCTGTCTCTTCCCTTTTAGCCTTCTGTTCTCATGCAGTATGCTCTAGCTGCTAGCAGATTTGGTTTCGTTCAGACCAGATGACCAAACAGTCTCAGTCTTTGATGTTCTGTGAAATAATTTACCGGTACTATGCTTACCTTTGCTCTTAGTTCTTCACTGGTGACTGTTTCTTCTTCTTTTTTCCTGCCGCATTTTTTATACATCTGATCTCTCAGGTTATAATTATGCATTCATGTTTTACAAGAACAGTCCGTGTTTGGCATTTAAGGTTAAATAACCTTTCCAAATGGCCCAGTACAAGGGAAGAGGAGACAAGGCAGGAAACAAATGTTAAGAGAATTGTCTGTGACGGAAAGGTTATCAGGAAGGGAACTCACTATTCTACCTCACAGCATGGTCTAAAATAGGTCAGGCCTAAAAAACAAATTGGGACAGCAAAGGAGTGGGTCAAAGTGACAGAGCAATAATCACACTTGTGTGCGGTTCTTGTCATACTGGACTGGGACTGCAGGGATTGGTCAGTGGGTACTGCAGAATTGGAAATTCAACAACTGATTCCTGACAATTTCTGCCCAGGTGATGTTATTATCTTTGTAGATGGCTCTGTGCTGAGAGGCAGAAGAAGTACATGGGGGTTCATGGTGAAAGCGAATAGAGGACGACTCTTAGTGCAACAATAAGCCTAGCATATAATACTACATCATCTAGTCTGGGAATGCAGATGGAGGCAGTCACTGCAGCTTACCGCTGGCTTGAGAACCAGTGCACACAAATGTCTTTCTTGACTGAAACTGGTTCACAACGCCTGCTGAGAGAGGTTAAGACAGGCAGACTCTGTACAGAGTGGCAAACATCACTTCAGAGGTCCCGGTGTCTCACATAATACACTCTATATAGCATATTAACACTCCCCTCCCCCCTTCCCCCACTGCAAGTGACACCTTTTCGCAACATTAAAGAATATAAACAATAAATATCAAGCATGATTAAACTGACAATGAACATGCCACAAAGACACCCAGCAAATGTCTTTCTTACCAGGACTTGGGTCGATGTTTGACAGAAACTCTAACTGTGGATGTAACTTGAGCAATCCAGTGTGATCACTGTTCCTCTGTAGGGTCAACATTAGCTCAGTCACACTCTGTGCAAATGACTGTGGACTCTGATGCTGCATATACAAACAATCATCTTTTATACATCTTGTTACAAGTTCATACAAGCCTAAGATAAACACATTTCATTAGTTAAAAGAAAAAAAAAAATGTAAACAACCCTTTTCAACACCTTCAGGTGAATGGGGCATATCGTGCTAGACCAATTATTTTATAGAATAATCAGCGCTCGGTGTGGGAGGTAGTCAACATCACGCCGGCCATCTTTATATCCCAGGACTCTCAAGGTACCCCCCACCCCACTCGAGGCTGAGTTGACCTAGGAACCAAGGTCATGTCAGTTTTTGAAAAAGGTTAGCACTGTTTAGATTTGAACTCACACACTCTGGATAAGCATGCTAGCATCCAGCCGCTTCATCGCGGTAGCTCCCATATTTCATTAACATAGTTTGCCAAATGCATGTGAAATTTGAGAAATCTGGATACTTTTTTAACTGCATTTTGTTATAACTGTGAGTGTGCCTTGTTCTTCTTATTCTTCTTATGGTGAAGGACAAAAACAGTCTGCTGTGAACTGCAGATTAAACCCAGACCACTGTTATGACAAGCTAGTACACTACGATGTAATGCTACACTGCACTTTTTTGGGAAAGGGGGGGGGGGTTTACTTTAGCAGCTGAATGTAATTTCAGTCTGTAAGGTGTTCATAGCTGCACTATTGTGTACTACTACCTTGTGTTGTTGGTCCCTTCAGCAGTTGAATTATATTTCATGAGACTGGCTACCTCATTCCATGTAAAACTAGATGCAAAATTCAGCTAATCATAAACAAGTCTATAAATAGCTTGGCATTACTTGGCTAAGGGACAACACTCTAGTGGTAGTTGAAAGCAGAAGAAGAACATGAAGATGTTGAAAAGGAAGAAGGAGAAAATAATCAAAAGTAATCTAATGCACACAAAAAAACAACAAGCGATGCTTAAAAAAAAACACACTTACTTTATCAATAATAGACTGCATATGAGATTTGTGAGCAGGGTCTCCATACAACAATGATGACCACTGTTCGGGAGAGATTCGAAGCCCTGCTTCTAGTGCAATTTGAACAATTTGAGAGTCATGCTCTCTACGAAGAGACTCGTACTGACGAAATTCCTCTTTCAGCTGCATCAGTGATGATTCTTCTTCTCTCTTGAGCACCTGTAATGCAAAGAGGAGAAAAAACAAACTGGCACATCCGCAAAACACACTGTACTAAATCCCATATAATAAACATGTATCCCATATAATAAACAAGTATCCGATATAATAAACAAGTATCCCATATAATACACAAGTATCCTATATAATACACAAGTGTCCCATATAATAAACATGTATCCCATATTATACACAAGTATCCTATGTAATAAATAAGTATCTCATACAATACACAAGTATCCGAAATAATAAATAAGTATCCCATATAATACACAAGTATCCCATATAATAAATAAATTTCCCATATAATACACAAGTATCCCATATAATAAATAAATTTCCCATATAATACACAAGTATCCCATAAAATAAATAAGTATCCCATATTATACACAAGTATCCTATGTAATAAATAAGTATCCCATATAATAAATAAATTTCCCATATAATACACAAGTATCCCATATAATAAATAAATTTCCCATATAATACACAAGTATCCTATATAATACACAAGTATCCCATAAAATAAATAAGTATCCCATACAATACACACAGTATCCCATATAATAAATAAGTATCCCATACAATACACAAGTATCCCATATAATACACAAGTATCCCATATAATACACAAGTATCCCATATAATACACAAGTATCCCATATAATACACAAGTATCCCATATAATACACAAGTATCCCATATAATAAATAAGTATCCCATACAATAAACAAGTATCCCATATAATAAATAAGTATCCCATATAATACATAAGTATCCCATATAATACACAAGTATCCCATATAATACACACGTATCCCATATAATAAACAGGTATCCCATATAATAAACAGGTATCCCATATAATACACAAGTATCCCATATAATACACAAGTATCCCATATAATAAACAGGTATCCCATATAATAAACAGGTATCCCATATAATAAACAAACTGACATTATTGACAAGCACCCAGAGAAAAAGGTAGAGGAGAACCAACCCACTTCTTCTTCTCTCTCCTCCTTTACTTTTCTCTTACTACTTCGAGTTTCAAGGGAGATAAAAGTTCTACTTCTCATTCTTTTGGCCACCTGGACCTTAGACACATAGTCTGTTGTTATCTTTTCTTTCCACTTTGCTCTTGGTCTACCTAGTGCTCTCCATCCTTCTCTTTTAACATAAGCCTTGTATGGTAAGGCATCACAAGGCACTCTCTTTAAGTGGACAAACCATTTAAATTGCTATCTTTGTAATTTAGAACTCATCAGCAGCTTCGGCTCCACCTTATCAGCCAATCATCAGATAGTATTGATACCTGCACAATACAGTATATGCTGGTCCCTTGGAGGATAGGCAGAGCGAGAGGACTTCTCCGCAATAGTCACCAGATATTGATACCGGCGCAATACAGTACATGCTGGTCCCTTTGAGGATAGGCATAGCGAGAGGACTTCTCCGCAATTGTCATCAGATAAGACTGAAACCTACATAACACAATACAAAGCATTAGCCAGAGCGAGAGGCCTTCTCCGCAAGCACCATGTCTCGGAGAAACAAACCTAACGGAAAGCGCAACGGACAGAGGAAACAGCCCACTGACAGATCTACCCGATCTAACTCGGAGGCCAGGAAGACGCAGACAGATACTACCGAACCACAGGAAGACGCCCCTACTACCAGTGAGGCCCTGAGTGACGTCCCAGCGTCACCTGAACCAACACAGCCAAGTCCACAAACATCTCCAGATCGACGAAAGACATGCAGCTATGAATTTCCTGCCACAATATTTCTACGACAGACCAACTCGGGCCGGACAGCAATCACTACACTGGCAACGCTAACATTGATCAATATGCTGGAGATCATGTTAGGCAAGAGGGCAGTCGCAAAGATTAGGAGAACTCGAGAAGGAGTGATAGCTTCACTAAACAGAACCAACCGCACCTCAGACATGCTGGATGACATCCAACACGACGGCAAGAAAGAACTCCGACTATCCGAGGAGATAACTGTGACGGCCACCATCTTCCAGAATGTAAGACGCTGGGTGATCCGAAGAGTCAACCTGCAATGGAGCAACGAAGAAATTCTGCAACAAATAAGGAAAGAAAACCCCAATGTCAACATCAACCAAGCAGAGAGACTGGGCTCAAAACGGCATCCATTGCCAGTGGCGGTGATAACATCGGAAGGAGAAAACATCCCGGATAAAGTCTACCTAGATCAAAGAATGCAAAGACCAGAGCAATACGTGCCACAGGTGATCCAGTGCTCTCGTTGCCAAAAAGCATGGCACTCCCGGGCCACTTGTGTGAGCGAACATGAAGTATGCCGATACTGTTCACAACACCATGCCTTCAACAATTGCCCGCTGGCAAAGCTGGACACAGACTTTAAGTCACCCAATACGAACAGAAAGTGCGCCAACTGCTACGGCCAGCACAGCACCAGGTACCTGGGGTGCCCCTATCTGCAACAATGTAGAGAAATTGCAACCACGGCCATACGGGATAAGATTCCATACCATGAGGCCCGCAGAAGACACGAAGCAACCCAAGGCATAACTGCAGCCATTACCACCAAATTGAGCAACGAGGTGGCTCAACTCAAAAGTGACATCCAAGCTCTCAGAGACGAGAAAGACGCATCCAAAACCCAACGAGATGAAGACAGAGATGAAATAACAGGCCTGAGAGCTATAATGCAGGCGACTCTTGACACCCAGAAACGGATGACAGCAGAGATGACGAAATTCAAGGAGGACATCATGAATGCACTGGCCACTATCCAGACACAAAAGGAACAACCAACTAAGGCAAGGGAAGACGAGGCGGGCATCAATGATCTGCGGGATAACCAACAACTTCTCGCGAAAGAAGTCGCAATGATCAAAAAGGCACTGGCTGAAACAGAGGAAAAGTTACGAAGAGCATACGAAGAAAACAACAGACTTAACAAGGAACTGCAAGCAACCAACAGAGTGATGAAAGAAAGAGAGAAAGCACGGAAAGAGGCAACAAGAAGGCAGCAAATACAGGGAGCCGAGACCCAGAAAAAGCCGCATCAAACACCAGATAAGAAAACTCAGGCATCGCTGATGAAACAGTTTCCGTTGGCAACAGTTGACCAAATTAACCAACGCATCATGGAGATGGAGGACCCGAACTTCTATAACTCAGAACTGCAGGATGATGATGTTTTTTGGTCATCACCAGAGGAACCACATCGACAGCCAAAATTTGAAGTCAAACGAGGTCGACACCGTTACCCCAAACACTAATACCAGATACGACACAACCAAGGCCAAATTACCGAAACCCTATGTAGGAGCAATACTTTACAACAAGGATACGAGAAAATCACCAAATAATACCAGACCTCAGCAGTATAGCCATCAGTACCTGCCCAAGTCAATCGACCGCCGGTCCTTATTAGGATAGGCAATCTACTTTCCCCGGAAACAACAAACAGCCAAGGAATACCACAATAAATCGATCCAACATCCAATCATCTTGAGCGCAGCACAGGGCCAGCCAGATTACAAAAACAACAGCAAGAGCGGAAACCACAACAAACAGAAAGTGACAATATTGAACACAATCCAGAATCAAATAAGATCGCGACCAGAAAACGTCACCACAAATATAGCTGAAAGGAAAGTGAGCAGAAATGTGAACGGACCTAGCTGAAAGTGGTCAAAGAAAGAGAATTTGAATTTGAATTTAGAACTGGTTCTCTCATGACCTCTTCTGGTTATTCTGCAGCTCTTCTCAGAAATATCATTTTCATGGTTACTAATTTTCTTTTCTGGTTTGTTGTGCCTGACCATGACTAGCAGTGGTAGCATAGGGTGGGAGTTAATATCATTTATATAAGATGTGTCTTTGTGTTGATCAGACCTTCTTATGCTGTAAGAGAACACACAAGACAACATCAAAATCAACGGGACTCAAACCTGTCACCTCCAGGAGTCACAGTATGGTAACTATAACATTTGATCCATGTGTCATCTAGAGTGTTCTCCAATCAAATACAGTGACACCAACAAACAGAAGATAAGAATGGAACCGCCAATATCTAACCTTGTTAAAATACTGCTGACCTTTGCTGTACTACATGTGAGATAAGCAATAGTCTAAAACAGTTGTAGACAATATCAACAATGACAGAAACTAGCACAAGTGACAAACCACTAAATGCAAGCACGGATTTCAGCCAGTCAAACAAAGTCAAAACAATGAGGACACAAACAACACACTGCAGAATTCACTGCCTGGCTATTTCGGGGTTACCTTATCGGGAGAACAACCACAAAGTTAGAACAGCTTATAAGTCCAAAAAATTAACAAAACAGACAACACTTACTTTAAAGCAGGAAGCTCTGTACAACAGCTGAACTACGTGACCAATGGCCGTCTTTGATGCCTGAGGGTAACGAGATTCTAACCTCTGCACCACAAACAAAACCAGGACCTTGCGAGACAAAAATGAACCATCCTCCAGGGCCAGAAGGATCAGTTTGATAACTTCCTCTTGCATTGCTGCAATGAAATCGCACAGAATTCAGGGTTTAGAATTATCTCAGGGTTTAGAATCACCTCAGGGTTTAGAATTATAATTTCTTCGTTAAAGTGGTAATATCATCATCATCATCATCATCAGGTGCCTTGCCGACTGGCGTAAGCAATCATGCCTCTCCATAATCTGCGATCTCCTGCAGTATGTATCAGTTCGTGTGCCGACACACCTCCATGCCATGCAACAAGACTGTCAAGCATCTTCTCTCATTGTCTTCCTCTATCTCTCCTTCCACTTAACTTTCCAGTGGTCACAACATGTTCTATTTTCCCTCTTCTCATAACATGGCCGAAAAATGATGACTGTCTCCTTCTGATGTCTGTGATAAGTTGTCTTCAGGCTCCCACCTCTTTTAAAACCTCTTGGTTGCTCTTTTTGGCTGTCCAAGGTATTCTAAGCATTCTTCTGTAAAACCACATCTCCGAGGCCTCCATAAATTGTTTGGCCTGCCTACTGATCGTCCAGGATTCACAGCCATGTTAAAACTGGATGTATGTAGCAAGCAAGAATTCTTTTTCTAACTCTCAATGACAAGGATATATTGCACAAGATGTTTTTCATTTTATAAAATGCAGTTTTTGCCTGTCCTATTCTATTCTATTTCTTATCTCAGTTATGCATCTTCCATCTGATGTTATCCATGTGCCCAGATACTTACATTTCTGTACTTGTCCTAAAATAACACCATCAACTTTTATTACACACTTAGGAATAATTTGTTTCTTTGATACCACCATTACTTCTGTCTTCCCATTATTCAAACTGAGGCCCATTCTTCCACTTTCTAACACCACAATGTCTATCATTTCCTGTAGTTCTTTCTGACTTGTTGCTATCAAGACTGTGTCATCAGCATAATGTAAATTGTTTATATTGTGCCCACCAACCACAATTCCGGGCATATCAATTAAAGATCTCATAATATATTCACTGTATATTGAAAACAAATCAGGTGACAGTACACATCCTTGTCGTACGCCCCTCTTTATGCTTTGAAATGTACCTAAACAGTTGTTAATTCTTATAGCTGCTGTTTGCTGCCAATACATATTCTTTATTATTCGTAGATCTTTCCCATCAATGTTTAATTTTTCTAACAGTTTGATTACTTCTTCATGCTTCACAGTCAAATGCTTTTGTATAGTCTATGAAGCATATGTACAAATCAGTCTTTACTTCTATAGCTCTTTCTGATAATGTCCTTACAATGTATATGGCATTGTTTGTACCTTTTCCTTCTACAAATCCACATTGTTCATCGCTGATTTCTGGTTTAATTTTGTTTCTTATTCTTCTCATAATTATTCTCAGTAAAATCTTAGTCATGTGACTCATAAGACTTATTGTGCGATGGTCTTCACATTTTATAGTGCCTGGTTTCTTAGGCAGAGCTATAAATCTGGATTTTAAAAGATCATTTGGAATATACCCACTATTATATCATTTAAAAGTTTAGTTATTATTTCAATTCCAAAATCTCCCAGTGCTTCAATTTCTTCCAGTGAGATGTTGTCTGGCCCGGGTGCTTCTCCTTTCTTCATATGATGTATTGCATCCTCAACTTCTGCAGTCATTATTGGTGGACCATCATTGTTGGTCTGCAGTTCTACATCTGGTCTATTATCATCATACAATTCCCCTATATACTCTATCCATCTGTTAATTATATTACTATGTCCCATTAATAAGTCACCATCTTTTGATTTCAAACATCCAGTGCTGTTACGTGTCATCTTTCCTGTTAACATATTTATCTTTTGGTACATGGAATATGAGTCTTTCCTGTTGTTTTCCCCAATCTCTGTGCACATTTGATTCAGCCTGGCTTCTTTAGCCACTTTGCGTTTGTTCACTATTTCTTTTTGTATTCTAGAGTATTCTTCTCTATCATTATTTTTCTTCCTTCTTTCATCCATCAACTGCAGAATTTCGGTTGACATCTATTTCTTTCTTGCAGCTCTATGGGTTGGTGAGACTGTCTCATATATATTCATGAAAGAACATCAACAAGAAGTAAGACGTTTGCAAGAACCAGGTGATGACTGTGAATCTAGATTACTGGTTGCTCATACATAATACTCTTCCTCTCACACATACTTTCTTGCCAACCACACTCAACTCCAAATTCACATAATGTTTCTCGTCAGGTGAATACTACAATAACAAAAAAATAAATGAAGCAAAAAAGTAAAGCCTATAAAAGTGAAGTACAGATTCAACAACACTGAAAAGCAAGTGCCTGCTTTAGCAGGGCAACCACACTGTTAAAATCACGGCTTTCTGTTTGCAAAGATTAGGTTTAGGTTTGTTTAATCACGGTACCTTCTATCAGCAATCATTTATACAGTTTTCATAATGTCTGCCTTATTAATCGGGAATGTTCCAACTGCAGTCGCTTTTGTAACCAAATGATGGTATTGATATGATATTAGAGGCTTTCCTGCTGGCCCAAAGGTACTGGGTTCGAAAGAAGCAAAATTTCAAAACTGAAGGAGTACTTATGGAAATGTCCTGATTGCTGTAATGTCGGTTCTTATTTCAACACTCAACATGCATTACTGAAACCCATTTTCATACTAGGGATTTAAACCAAGCACCACCACACTGGCAGGCAAGTGTGCTAACCATGGGCTACCAAGGTTCCCTGTGAATAGGTAATGAATAAAAAATTTTTTTTTTTGTAACAAAAGGTTTTTCTCACAGAGAACATTCAATTTATAGGTAAGCAAAGAGATTCAAACTGAATAAATGACTTTCCATTTTGAGGGAAAAGAACAGACCCACTCTCTAACCCCTCCCCCCCCCCCCCCCTTCCAAAAAAAAGTGTGTTGTATAAGTGAACTAATTAGAGCTGCTTCCTTCAAAGTCAGAATGCATCTGCCTTTGAGGTGAAGAAACAAAAGTCTGCTTACAAATAGGCAAAATCTGTAAAATGTATATGCACGCAAAACTCAAGTTCTAGAACTGGACGAACAAACAGAACTTTTTGCCAGAGTTTACAGCCAATGAAAGGAGGAGGAGGATAGCATGTCACTGTGCAATTCAGGAAATTCTGTTCACAAGGAAATGCTAATCTGACACACACCTGGACCAAGAAATTGGCACCCTCTTGTCCTCACCGCAGCCCAAAGGTTTGCCGACAGCTGATGCGGATACTGGTGCAGAACTAACAGCTCAGACACGATTCTCTCTCCCAGAGAGCGGGCAATACGTGTTGCACGAGACCTCCCTTCCTCTTCCAGCAGCTGGCAGTGAATGAGACTGATGAGTTTCCTCTGCATCTGGCGACTTAAGACACATTTGGATGTGTTGCTGTTGTTCCCACTGATGTTCTGGGCAGTGTGATTGTTGCTTTTTGACGGGCTTTGCTCGCTGCAAGTGGAACTATCATCATCTGAAGCATCTGCAGATAAGAAAGAAGGTTTAATTAATTTTACACAGAAGCTTTAGTCTGATGTTAACGAAACATAAGAACTTATTACAATCTTGCAATTAGCCTATATTTTTTGTTATCAGTGCTTTTTACAATAGACATAATGACTATCAACATTTCTGTGAGGGTTTCTGGGCCCCAGGGGGAAAAAAAAAAGGGGGGGGGGGTGAATTAAGAATCAACATCACAGCACTCAGGACACTCCCATAAGTGCTCAGTCCCCATCTTCAGCAGCAAGCTTACAGTTCCAATTCCAATGGTACCAGTAACCGTCTGATTGTATATCCATCTCATCCTTCCCCTGAGTGTTGAGCGTCGGCCAGATCCCCTGTTAACTCCTCACAGCGCCTTTTCCTTAGACCGTAATGATTTATCTGCGCCTCTGCTCTGTTCACCCATTTGATAATAGAAAAGGAAGCAGAACAACTTAACATGTACACTAGCAGTGTGCAGCCCTTTGATTTCCCATCTGTACAGATGATTCTTTTGGGGAAAGACGCACCATTCAGTTCACGAGTTAAGTTTTTATGGACAACCCTGACTGTTGCTGAAGCTACAAAGTGTGTGTTTGTAAAGTGCTCTGGACGAGCAGCTAGTCATTTTGCAGAGAGAGACTAAGCCAAATGGGATAAGCTGGTGCAAGGAAGTGGATCCATGAGAGACTTTAACATTTAACCTTATGTTTCATTAACACTACTCCTATTTATATGATCTAGGCTCCTTTTTTAGAATCCATAAGACATCAGCTGTTATATTTGTCTCCAGCCTGCTGTCAATAATATTCAAGTTATATACTCACTTTCTGCCAAAGGTTTGAGATGCACTGCCATGTCTTCAATGCATTTCCTTGCCTGTTCATAAGACTTGGGGTTGTCTGTCACTACTGTTTTAACAGCCTCCTTTTCCTGCTCTGGAACTGCAGCACCAACCAGATGCATGAGGGCAAAGTTTGCTGGCAGCTTGTCCACATCGCTTGGCAACAGACTCTGATCAAAAGGACATCTTGAAGGGAAAAAAAGGGAAAAAGATTAAACTGCATTACAGCTTTGAAAACGCAACTGGAAATTATCATTAAGTAAACTGGCTTTGCCTGATGCTTAAACCCTAAAGCAGCAGGCCCTGCATCACTCTCCTCATGGTAGACCTGAAATTCTCTCTAGCCAATTCTGCAGCAGGTTTTAGTCCAGACCACAGCCTTCCACACTGCAGCGCATTCAGTAACATTTATGCTTGTACATATTCATGGCATTGTGGTGCTGGGGTGTCTGTGGATTACCTACCTCCCCGGGCAGCAGCTAGAAATGCCCTGTACCTCTAAAGGAAATATGGAATGTGTTTCTGCCTTCCCCTTTAACACGTATGATTGTACATGTCTGCCGTTGTTTTCTTCCCCAGTTCGTGAAAATGACCTACTTATACTTAGCCTGGGAGCCTTTCGGTCAGAACTTTCAGATTCTTTTTCGGCTTCCATTTAAAGTCTCTAGGGATTCATAAACTGTAATCTCCTCTTGCTTTCCCCATCTACTTGGCTTAACCCTGCCTGTGAACAAAACATCTTCAAGACTTCGCTTCCTTTTACTTTTTTCTTACAGTCCAGGCTGTGTGGCAATGGTCAACTTCTTCTTCTTCATTCCAAGCCCCTTGAGGTTTATTGCTGCAGGTATCCCCGCCTCCATTCATCTTTCTGGTTGGCCTTCTCTTTCCAGTTGGTGACACCAAGTGTTTGCAGGTCTGTCTGGATAATATCTCTCCCTCATCTTCTTGGTCTCCCTCGTGTATACAGTTTTACTTTTGTCTCATGTGCTTCCAATAATTTCTGATACAGATTTTCTTCCAAACCAAACTTTTCAACATCCATTCTCTCTTGATTTCTCCCCGCCAACTTTCCTGATGTCATACTCCAGCGATTCCCCCCACCCACTTCTCATAATGTTCCAAAAACAATTTTCTTCTGATGGGGATAATCATTCTCTTTGTAAATTAATTTCTTTCAAGACATGTTCACTGTTTAATATCTATCCATGATTTTCTCAACTTTCTTCTATAGAACCACATACAGTAGAAGCAGCAGCACCACCAGTAGTAGTAACATTAAGTCATGCAATTACCAATCCACCTGCCCAAGATCCAGTCCCCAAAAGTTATAGATTTATATGAAGTTCAAAGTAAAAATGAGCGCAAGATTTTTCTGGAAAGGGAGGAGGCAAGGAAAAAATTGATCTCATGATGACATCCAAGATCGAGTACACACAAAGGTCAAACATTTCACGGGAAAAAAAGAACAGAACTACTGCTTAACCAAAAACATGTCGACAGAATTGACTAATTGGGAGCTTCCTTCGAAGTCGGAGTGCATCTGCCTGAGAGGCAAGGAACCAGCAGTCTGCATACAAATGAGTCAGATCTATCAAATGGATGAACAACCAGAACTTTCTGCCAGAGTTTACAGCTGTGAACGCAAAGAAGACAAAGACAAAGACACCTGTGATGTGGTACACAGCTTTGTCAAGTGACATAAGGCAGGAGTTCTTAACTCTTTCTATCCCAACCAACTCGCAGTGTGTATCAAACAACAAACAGTAAGTGATTATATAATTTACATTTGTGCTAAATACAAAATTAAACGTGACTCTAAGGAGGGAATGGAAAAGAAGCGCACAAATACAATTGAGTGTTTTGACCAGAGTCTTTATCAATGCAGCACTAAATAAACATACAGTGTGACTGGAAAACTCAATGGACAAGACAACAGAGCTTCTGAAAAAAAACCATGGTCAACATGTAACTAAGAAATATGTATAATGAGGAAAAAATATGGAGGGTTATATTAGGAAAAGAAATAAGAAATCAGGTATTTGAAAAAAGAGGGTGAGAAATATGAATAAGTTAGAATTAAATTAAATCAAATAAAGCTGTGTTGATCATTGATGCCTCCAGGATTACACGCCAAAACTGTAAATGCAGTTATGTTCTGAGGAGTAGCGGCTTGTTTGACCATCGGACCAAGATTTAATAGCATTAACTGAGACATCGCTTTCACCTAGGTGGTCAGAACTGTTAAAATTTACATTTGGTTTGTGAATGCTAAAAAAATCTGGCTGGATATTCTATCACACAGCATAGTATATGTTATCTCTTTGAGAGTATTACACTCTTTTCCTTAAGTATTGAAAACAGTACTCTGGTTATGAAAGAGTTAAAAGATATAGAGCTAATCTAAGACAGTGATTAGAAAACTAAATAAATAAATAAAACAGTATATGGTTTTAAAGATGAATGACAAGAACACTATGAAAAGATAACAGGAATAATGAAGATGTCTTGAAAACTCACAAAGAGAACTTATCATCTTCACCAGAAGGAGAAAATCCACATTCTTTGGTCGCATCATGAGAAGGGGAAAACTGGAGTACATATTGCTGGTGGGAAAGTTAGAGGAGAAAAACAGCATGAGACTGACAGAGAAGATGTTGGACCATCTGTGTCAGAAATGATTGAAAGTACATGAGACAGAAGGTTGTGGACAGACATGACTACCAACACCATGGACTACACCAAGAAGAATGTAGCACATGCCATAGAAATATCTTATCTTATGAGATCAATATTAAAAGCAGAATAGGTCATGCGTAAGCTGCATTTCAGAAAATGAAAAATCTTATGCAATAAATCGCTCTCATTTAATGTCAGAAAGGGGGTGCTAAAATGTTATATAGAACCTGTTCTGCTGTACGGCAGCGAATCTTGGAATGTCAGTGAACAAATCAAGAAGAATTTGGAAGCAACAGAGATGTCGTTTCCGAGACGAATGTTACAAATACCTTGGATGGCCAGAGTAACTAACAACGATTGCTTGAAAGAAGCTAATGAAAGTAGATCTATTATACACAACAATAAGAAAGAGACAAATACTGTTCTTTGGCCACATAATGAGAAGAGAGACATTGGAGAACATCGTGACAACTGGAAAGATCAGTGGAAAAATGGGTAGAGGCAGACCAAGAGAGATGATGCTGGATGGGCTGAAACGATGGCATGGAGGGATATCATCAAGAGAGCTGTTCCAGGGATCGTGATCTGTGGAGATGCATCAGCGCCTATGCCAGGGCACATGATGATGATGATGAGATCAATTACACAAGCCTCTTTAATAAATTTTTAAAAAATGAAATACCTGTTATCAGTAAGTCTGCTCTTAATGCAGGACTTGCAAACAGTGTGTCCACAGCCAAGGGAAATTGGTCGTTGTTGCCGCTCATTAAACAACACAAAGCACACCGGGCAGGAAATGAATTCAGTCCAAGGCAATCCTTGAAATGGCATTGTGGGCTTCTACGTGTTTTACGTAACAGTATCCTTTGTGATTTTGTGCAATGTTTTAGTTTTTCTTTATGTTAAAACAAAACACAGTTCAACTGATAAAATCGTTCAAGTTGCATTCTGGTTCTTCACATTATTAAAACTACTGAACTCAGATTGTTGACAATATTCTTCTTGTAACATATGCATTGCAACAAGCATACATCAGATCATTAGGTACTCCTGCGCCTCAAGATGGCAGTGCTGAAAAAAAATTACAATAACACAAAATGAATAAACGGTCACAAAGTAGTAGTCACCAAATTTAAAATGTATAAGATACAAAATAATCCGGTACAAGACATTGGGAAGTCGCCGTGGCGGAGCGGCTAGACGCTCGCCGCTGATCGGATGGTCGTGGGTTCGCTCCCTGGCGGAGCCTGACTTTTTTCATAAATGACCTTGGCTCCCAGGTTAACCCAGATGGGTACCAGGTGTAGTCCCAGGAAGTAAAGGCGGCCGGCGTGATGCTGACCACATCACCCATCTTGTGCCAACTGGTCTATAAAAATATAGGTCTAGCCCTATAAGCCCTGTATGCCTAAAGGCGTGGGAAAGGGTCCTTTACTTGTATCTTTTTTTACAAGACATTGGATACGAAATGAGACTTTTTAACTTCCTATATTACAGCTTGTGTCTGCGACTTAGACACTGCAAACGAGCTGCGTAGTGCTGGGGTACCGGGTTAGATCTTAGCTGCAGAGGATTTGTTGTGCTTTTTTTTCAACAGTGGTACTGAGAGCTGACCATTCAGTTCATTGTTCACTCAAAGATCGTCTTCATTGCACACTGGACATGACCATAAGTGCTCCAATCTTCTCCCGAGTATGTCTCCAAGTGTTTTTAGGCTCATAACTCCCATTCTGTTCTAAATGATGTAATGATGGGTGGCTTTAGCATAGCTTTCCTGTCTTGCGGCTCCTCCAACTGGTACACCCAGGGTATGCAGTCTATTCAGTGAAAAATCATTTTCCATGAAACTGAAATCCTCACAGCGTTTGGTCTCTCGTATGGCAGTGATGTCTTCCCTGACCCTAGATGGCCCATTCCTGATAGTGGCACTGCCAGCCAGAGTATCTGCTCGCTCACTACATTTCACATCAGCATTCCCTGGGGAAAAATCAAGTGATTTTTGCAAAATGTTGCGAGCTGTATCAGATGGAGCCACTGTTTCCAGATATACCCTGCCCTGATCCTCTGTAGCATGCTCATTGACCATTCAGTAAGCAATGGTAAACAAGTGAACGTAAAATTTGCCTATAATAAAACCACAACAGCCAAAAAATGCTAGGGTTGGTTCAACTATGTATTGTAAAGGATACAAAACTAAATATATTACAACTCGGGTTTTAAGAGAGATCTAGGTTTCTAGTTCTTAGTCTTCCGTCAGCCTCAAGTCTATATACTTGACAATGTAGACTTTCCTTGGTGTTACCTTTTCACTTTGTTTTTGGCTCACATCAGGTTTTTACATCCCTCTTCTTTGTTTGGCATGTTTTTTACGGCATGGCACCACAAGGTCTTCTAAGAGCAAAAATCATTTCATCTTTTTCTTCTGTGTTCACCCTAACAAGGGCGGTTGGCGGGAGGTGTTGTGGTTTACAGTTAGGCTGCGATATGTGTTTTTTGGACCAAAACAGCCGATTTTGGCAAACCACTAATTAATCACCTTTTACTAAGTTTGTTATGGGTGTAGTGGGTCGATTCTTTTTTTTCCCCCCTCAATTTAATTTGCTGTCTTTGTAGGAGCGGTTCTATTCTGACTTTTCAGCCTCTAATCTCAGGCCTTATTGTGTATAGCTTCTGGTCCTCCCACAAGCCTTTCTCACAGACCACAAATTAAGGGTAAAGACATTTTTTTACCTGAAGCCTCAGAATCTGTCGCTTCTTTTTTGATTCATGATTTTCTTAGCTTGTATTTGTAACAACAAACAAATGCTGACAAGGGCTGGTTACTGGATTATTTTCAGTTTTGCCTAACCTTGTCATAATTAATGTATAAAACCCACTAAAACAACTGTCTTTAATAATGGAAACATGTTAAAGGTAGTTGTACTGATAGATAACAAGAAGGCACAATAATGCTCAGCAGAAAGGTAACGCAAAGAGATTTAAACATATCAGGAAGCAACTGTTATTTTGTTTCAATTCTTCCTCTCCCGGACCACAGTCTGAAGGATTAATATATCTCATCACTCCTAGATGAGAAACAAATCCCAGAAACTCAGAAACCATGTTCAACCGCGTACAGTGAGCTGTGTTGAGTCAGAAAGTAACCTGTTGTCGTAGTTCAATGCGCCCGTCATTAGAATACAGCGCTGGCTCAAAGCTGGCTGCCCAAGATGGGGCATGATGTTTAACACAAAAAACAAAGAATAACATTCGCTTCCATCATAATTTTATAATTTACATTTATTTTAAGTAACAATTATGATATCCCAAATTTAAAATAATTACAATTTCACATCACACAAGGATGCCATTAATTATGATCATATTTTAATTTAGTTGTAGTTTATCATTTTAAAAAACTGCAAGATGGGAGTTGTTAGCCTCAAAACACTTGGAGACATACTGAACTCAGGAGGGGATCGGAGTTGTTAGCCTCAAAACACTTGGAGACATACTGAACTCAGGAGGGGATCGGAGCTGTTAGCCTCAAAACACTTGGAGACATACTGAACTCAGGAGGGGATAGGAGCTGTTAGCCTACAACACTTGGAGACATACTGAACTCAGGAGGGGATAGGAGCTGTTAGCCTCAAAACACTTGGAGACATACTGAACTCAGGAGGGGATCGGAGCATTTATGGTCATGTCCGATGTGCCATGAAGTGATCCTTAAAATTAACAATGAACAGCTGTAAGAAAGTAAGTCGAGGACTCAATGTCACAGTCAGTCCAGAACTCAATGTCAGTCAGTCCAGAACTCAATGTCACAGTCAGTCCAGAACTCAATGTCAATGTTTGTGGACTTTCAAATTTGTTTCACTTGGGAGAGAAACGGTAACCCAGGATCAGTGATCAGGCAGTCAGGAGCAAAGTTGCAAAAGAAGGACTGAACTAACGGTAACAGGATTTTAAGTGGATATGAGTGGATACCATGCATCAGTACGCCAACATTGCAGTGAATCACGTGGATATACTGTCTGGGAAATGTAGGAGTGCGGGGGAATGAAAGAGCAGATTTTCTGGCTACAAAGGCAAAAGCTATGGGAACACTCTGGACAAGGGAGATATTCTGAAGATCATATATGAAGGACTGTTGGCAGAAGACAGGAGATTAGATGAAATAACATGGGCAAGAATGTATCAAATGTATGGACCAGGAATTCAATCATCAATGTGGATCCGGTAAGGAGGGACGGATGAGAAGAAGAAATCGGCAAAGCGTATACTTATTATAATCAGAGTGTGCTAGGGAAAAAGTTAGCACCTACACCTTACGAATGCGTTACTTGCTTGCTGCGGGAGACGGGGCATCTATCATATGGGTTTGTTTGCCCAGTGTGCTATGAACTATGATGTCGATTCTTAAATCAAATCAGTAACAGGATATCAATTATTTAATGACATAAAGACCACACATTTCATAAAACATTAACTATCTTAAAGGACTCTTATTAATATCCTTGATACTCATAACATAATAATCACATATTATAAGTTGTACGTTTCTGTTACAAATAACAACACAATTTCTTCAGCGGTACCCACCATCACATCTGCAATCCGGATATAAATATGGCGAGATAACTAACTGCTAGCAGTCGTGAGAATACCAGGGACATCAAAACAGATCTCAACACAGCCACCACTACGCTTTCCCTCATAATGAAATAGACTCGGATAAACACATACATTTATAAATTCCGACATAGATTTACCTCACGTGGATGAATCACAATAGTTAATCTTCTTTCATGCGGGCCATGAAGTTTCTAGACATTTCAGTTTATATTTCTTAGCTGGCAAGGCGTCAGGAAAACAAGTATCGAGAACTGTAAAGTGCAGCATAAAGGCTGGTAGTCGAATAGAGAACACTATCATCGTCATCATCATCATTCTACCTTTATGTCATATTTATATTTGTCGCAGTCTATTCCTCATTTCATTTCTATTCTTCCCCGTGAGAGTTCCGGGATCCTGTTATAGGAAAAACAAGAATCGATCCACTGCCTACCCAAAAGCATGTCGTAAGAGTCGACTAACCGGGAGCTTCCTTCAAAGTCGGAGTGCATAAGCCTGAGAGGCAAGGAACCAGTAGTCTGCATACAAATGAATCAGATCTGTAAAACGGATGCACACGCAACACTCAGGTTCTGGAACAGGACTGCAGTCCTGAAGAGGATGAATAGCCAGAACTGTCCACCAGAGTTTACAGCTGGTGAATGCGAAGAAAAAATATTTTTATTCTAAGTAATTGTTTCAATATCATAGATGGAAGTCTTCGAAATGCCACCCCTAATAGCTTCGCACTGTCAGATCAAAAGTTCAAACTGTATTTTGATTTCGCTGCTTATGTCGCCCCCTTACGGTGCCGCCTGATGCGGTCAGATCTGTTTCATAGCACGACACGGCCCTGGATGGAATCCAGTCCAGAACCTTTAGCCTCTCTCAGCAACGTCTGACTTAGTCCTTTAGGAGTCCACGTTCGCTAAATCCTCTACGGGAGTGCAAGGAAATGAAACGGCGGATTTTCTGGCGACTAAAGCCGTAACTACAGGAACTCCTACTGGACAAAGGAGACATTCTGAAGAATTTCCAAATCTTCAGCGGCCAGTTTCAGCCAGCACAGAATGAAGAATAATTGATAGACCTAAATATACTGTTGAAAAACAAGAAAGAGAAAAACTATACATCCCAATTATAAACCGGATGGGTTGAACAGGGTATTTTGTTGAAATCACTATGACTACTATTACTACATTTTGAACGAATACTGATAAAAGAAACAAGAATAT